GACGATCGGTGGGCACAAGACAGTGGAAATGAGGGGAAAAGAACACACAAGCACACATAGATTTCGTACGGGAAAATCTCCTGAACCTCAACCGTTCAAAAACCGTCTAATGCTTCAAGAATAAATATATGTTATAAATAATATTATGACATCAACACTGAAGGAGTCTATCACTTGTCACCTTCTGTACCTAATATCACACAAACATTGCCTCTAACTTAGGCCCTCATCTTATACCTAAGGCCTCGGGGCCAGGACCACCACCAGCTCACTCTACGGTTATGGGACAGTGTGTTGACTCTAACCAAGGCCCTCATCTTATATCTAAGGCCTCGGGGTCAGGGCAACCACAAGCTCACTCTACGGTTATGGGACAGTGTGTTGACTCTAACCAAGGCGCTCATCTTATACCTAAGGCCTCGGGGTCAGGATCACCACCAGCTCACTACGGTTATGGGACAGTGTGTTGACTCTAACCAAGGCCCTCATCTTATATCTAAGGCCTTGGGATCTGGACCACCACAAGCCCATGCTCTGGGAGAGTGTGATGAAGGATGAGAGGGAAAGGACGGTAACTAGATTAAAAAAAAATATCCCACAATAATATGTGGAGAATCAATGCACTTGGCCCTGGCAGATGCTACAATCGTCATCGTGACTTAAAGCGCATTACAAAATTCAAAGGAAGCAATTTGTATAATCTTGGTGGTGTTGAGCAGTAAACAGCCTCAACCCTTAACCAAACTACCAGAGGTTCCAGCACTCAGACATTGAAAGCATTTTTTTTTACATATAACTTATATCGGAAACAAAATGGAGAAATAAAAAAACAACTTTAAGTAACATTTGAAATGTCCCAAAAAAACCTCATAGAAAGTGCAGTACAAAACAATCCATTTTCTACCCTTCACCATGAAAGTTGTCAGTGGAGTTCGATGCCAGTGTCTGGAACGGGTCGTGCCTTGGGCTGAAGAATATTGTTGACCATGAGAAGAAAGTCCTAGAGACACTTTCCTCTTTGTGCATCATTCCAGACATCTCCTTTGTGTTTTTATGGACCAGATGAACACCCCACCACCCCCCCGACACACGCCTCAGGCCTTATTCCCTAAGATCTCACTCAATCCAGTTCATCAAATGAGAATGGATCCTCAGTGCATGTCGACATATAAACAATGTAATCCGTAAGGGATGCTTCCAGTTCGCAGTGTTTGGTAGGAAATGGTCCATTGTTCAATACATGGAAAGAGTGTGGTCCTACAGGTTTGTGTGTCCTTAAGAGAAGGAATGAAAAGGCACCTGTTGTCCTCTTCTAGCTAATGCTCTTTCCTCAAAAATTGAAGGGGGTTATGGGTAAGTGGTATCTTCCACCTCAAGTGGATCCCTCAATGTAACATCGGGGACCTTCTGAAAAATAAGACCAGCCTTTGCTTGATCAGTCATATCCTGGTTTGTTGCCATCAGGTGCTGGTCAGCAGGTCCTTGTTCTTGAAGGAAGTTGTGGGATGCAAAGGTTTTCTATGGAATCTCAAGTCACTTGTTCTACATTGGCTGAACTATCAAACCAGTCATGGCTGAAAAGGAAATGAAGAATTAGTCATGTATAAATGCATGTGGCAATATGACAAATACATCTGGGGTCATGTAATAAGGCAAAGCAAGGTATCCTATAGCAACCAACTAGATGTCACCTTTTATCAAATTAAAACAGTTAAAAAATGGCAGATGGTTTATGAGAGACGTGATATGTGCTTGGCCAATTTAAGGACTTGTCTGTGAAGGTTCTCACTCATCCAGGTCACGATATATCTGTAAATAATAAGTCAAGGCAACTGGACTTGCTGTATTTTTATTGAAGGCGCTTCACTGGTCAGCCAACCAGCTTTCCCAATTCAGAATGACTTGTAGAAAAAGTTATCTGGGAATAAATATGGTGAATGTCGTTCCAATCCACATAATCTGTTAGTCACAACCAGGTGTTGATTGCATTTGCATAATTGGAGCTAGGAGGTGTTATTAACCTGCCCAGTATCTCTATTCAAGCTCGGCTTCTCCATTTTTACATACATGGCCTCTTTCACACCTCTTTTGAATCAGTCCTCCTCCCTGTCTAGGATGCGTACTTGACTGTCTTCAAAGGAAAAAGTTAATTTCTTTACAAAAATACAGCAAGTCCAGTTGCCTTGACTTATTTTTTACAGATAATTGAGGGACTTCTTCACGCTAAACTGTTACTCAGATTTTGCCCAGACATAAACTTAACAGTTTTGTTTTATATCTCTCAAGATCTTTGGTTGAGTTCCTGCATCCATGCTCCTGCTGCAATTCTTCTCGCTTCTAGATTTTGAATTTATTTATCTTCATATTTATTCATTACAGGCACTTATACAGCGCCGACAATTTTCGCAGCACTTTTTACATAGTTGCACATTCACAGCAGTCGCTGCCCCCAAGGATCTTACAATCTAAGGTCCCTATATCACATGCATATGAGGGCCAATTTAGACAGGAGCCAATTTACCTTCCAGTATGTCTTTGGAGTGTGGGAGGAAACTGGAGTACCCGGAAACCCACGCAAGCACAGGGAGAACATTCAAACTCCTTGCAGATAGTGACCTGGCCAGGATTTGAACCAGGGACCCCCAGTGCTGCAAGGCAGAAGCCCTAACCATTATTATTATTATACAGGATTTATATAGCGCCAACAGTTTGCGCAGCGCTTTACAATATAAGGAAGACATTACAATCACAATACAATTCAAGACAAGATGGTAAGAAGGGCCCTGCCCCTGAGGGCTTACAATCTAAAAGGGAGGGGGAAGTGATACATGAGGAGGGAGCTGTGTGGGGATTAATTGTTTGAGAATGTGATAGCTCAGTGGTTAGGTTGAGGTGGGATAAGCTTCCCTGAAGAGATGAGTCTTTAGGGAACGCCTAAAGAGAGTCAAGGTGGGAGACAGACGGACAGGTTGGGGTAATGAGTTCCAGAGGATGAGAGAGACTCTACAGAAGTCCTGGAGGCGAGCATGGGAGGAGTTGACAAGGGAGCTGGAAAGCAGGAGGTCTTGGGATGAGAGGAGGGGACGGTTAGGGTGATACTTTGAGACAAGGTTGGAGATATAGCCGGGGGTAGAGTTGTGAATGGCTTTGTAAGTGTTTATATTTTGAATTTCATCCTTTGGGCGAGTGGAAGCCAGTGTAGGGATTGACAGAGGGGGGTTATGCCACTGTGCTGCCCATATATGGAGGAAGAGTTAGAATTCTTAAGTTTGTTGGGGTTAACAAACATTGCAAGGTTCACCAAGAGCATACCAAGAAAATGTAAGTTTAGAACCTGCAAAATATATAAGAACCCAAAGGAGGACATTCCCCACCAGGCTCTCTCCCTATAAGTGAAATATCTATTTTTAGGTGATCTACTCATTTAAATAGAACCATATCTCCAAGAGGTATTTGCAATAATCTGACCCAATAATCTGACCCAACTAGGGCGTGGTGGGAGCGCATGCCAACCGACGTAGCCATTTTTGCCAGTCCCCCTCGGCGGCAGCCAAGGCTGTGTATGTGCTTGGGCACAATGAGTAAAAGTGTCTGCCCAGTTGCCATGCCAGTGGCTGGCAGTTTTGTGCTCAGGGATGCTGAACCTGCACTCATCCACTGTACCTGCCTGTGGCTGTCACACAGCCAGTGGCCAGACAGGGAGCCATCAGGCTCAGAATTACTGAGCTGCACTGAAGACACCGTATACTCCAGTCTGAGTGCCACCCCTCACCATGCCTCCTGAGATGGCCACCTCTGTTGGTCTCATTGGCAGCATAGCCCTGGACCTTCCAACAATAAATTATTATAATAGTTCAGCCTCAACTCAAGGATTACTTAAAACTTGATTATAGATGGCTTCTTGTACTCTTTGGGGATGCTAATGGTGGAATCTGTCTACCATAGTTCCTGGCTCCGTCTCCACCCAGCTTGGAGTAATGAGTGTTCCCACCCATCTAGGTAGTCTAGTGGGTGGACTCTCAGCTGGATTCTTATACACTTTGGGGATTCTAGCAGTGAAATCTCTCTACAATAGCTCCTTGCTCTGTCTCCACCCAGTTTGGGGTGTTACAATATCTCCATGCACATTTTAATTAATATCAAAATTGCAAGATCCACCAGTCCATCTAGATCAATTTCATAAAACATCAGTCCCTTCCCTCATGCCAGGGTGCTAGGTGTATCCTGGGACTTTGGCCTCTTTTTGGCCTTATATCTAATCACTGTCCAAATCTTGCCACCTTAACTTATGTAACATTTACAAAATATGCCCTTTCTCAACCTAATTCACTCCCTCTTCCTTGGACTACATTTACATAGGCCACCCCTCCCCCCCGCCCCCTTCAGTCTATCATGCATGCTGCTGCCATACTCATTCACCTTAGAGCCCACCACCCCTCTCTGCCAATCCCTCCACAAATCTGCCCTGAGCTACATCACCAACCTCGTCTGAAAATATCACTCAAACCGTGATCTTCGCTCCTCTCAAGACCTCCTACTCTCTAGCTCCCTCATCATCTCCTCTCATGCTCACCAACAGGACTTCTCTAGAGCCTCACCATTCCACTGGAAACTCCCCACCCCAATCTGTCTGGTTGTCTCCTACTCTGTCTCCTTTTCGTGGATCCCTGAAATCTCATCTCTTCAAGCAAGCCTATTCCACCTCCACCTCTTCCATTCTCCATCAACTCATCCCTTACAGCTAGTACTATTTTATATCACTTGCCATTCATTCCAGATTGCAAGCCCTCCTGAGCAAGGCATTCTTAACCCTTTTCTCTTGAATTGTATTAAATTGTAGCTGTAACCTTTACCTGTATATTGTAAAGTGCTGCACAAACGGTTGGCCCTATAGAAATCCCATTTAACAATATAAGTCCACTCAACAAGTCAACGTCTAGAGAGGACTATTTGGCTGATTCGCAAAAAATGAATGACAATGGACCCATCGGTTGGTTTAAACGGCTTTTACTTCCTGGTTTGCATGCAAACAACAACCACATCAATGTTGCTGACATTTCTGTGTGTTCTAAAGACTGAAACCCCCAAAAATGGAGGTCAGGCATGTGTACCTTGTAGACTGTTCGCACTGGAGCTGGTGCAGGTGGGTGGAGGAGAGTTTTGGGGTCGCACCACGGGGGCAAAGGCGCTCTTCTGTTTGACGGCGGAGATCATATTGACCGGTGAGAAGGAGAAGATACCAGTGGGGTTACCGGAATTGGCGCTGGACGGGAGAGAGATGGAAGAAGCTCCGAGCGGGGGACTCGCCGGCATAACTGGGACAGTAGAAAAAAAAGAAAAATTAAAGTCATGAATTTCTTATTTAAAGTCTGAAGCACAAAAGTTATCTGTGTCTGATTTACCACATTTTGTTAAACCAAAGTCAAAATAAAAAATGAGGTCATGAACTTCATATTGTGAAAATTGTCTAAGCGCCAGGGCTACTGCTCCTCCCCTGCAGAGCACCAGGGCGGCCCGATAGCCAAAATCGTATCTAGTACTAAGGCGTTGTTTTGGGTGAAAGAGGTGTTAACGTGTGTGTGTACGTGTGTCTATGTGTGTGTGTGTGTGTGTGTGTGTGTGTGTGTGTGTGTGTACGTGTATAAGTGTGTGTGTAGTAGGCAGGGATTGTGTTCCCAACCCATCTTACATTGTTTAGTAGTCATTAAATGATCCAGAAGTCATGCCTTGATAACACATCAGTTCCCGTTTCCTGGTGGCACCCCACTGCTTACACCCTTTTTCCTGGCCAACCAATTGGTCCTTCACACTATTTTTGTTTAGGTGAGACATTTTGAAGAGAACTTTTTTTTTTGCAGCAGGAGTCAAAATTAGCACGTTTGCTTTGGCGCAGAAGACATTTTTGGTGAGAAAGTAATGTAGCTAGCGATTATATGGAAAGAGGTCGGTCGTGATCTGTCGATTGATCGTGGCCATGTGACAGGTACATTGCATCCCCGCTGTGCTAACCCTCCATTTAAATTGCTTCCCCGCCATATGCAAAGAGGGAAGAAGGGGGTGGAACTCACTTGCATATGGAGAGTTGGCGGTGGAGCCATTAAGGAAGCTTGGTGATGCCGGTACTCCTAGGCTGGTCATCCCGGCCCCCGCATAGCCATTCATGCTGGAAGTGATGGTGTTGTAGTGCGATTGCTGTGGTGTAGAGCTGGGGACGTACCCCCGTGGAGAAACACTGCTCGAGTTCCTGGAGTAACCTGCGAAACAAGAGATGGAAATGAAAGTCTGGCTATTAAGGGAGAGCACTGATCACTTTTATCAGCATTATCCATAATATTTGTGATACTCATCTTTCCTGGGATCCAGCGCCAGATATTCTGCCACTTCTCAGTTTCTCCCACAGAGCCGGCACTACAGCTAATCAGGAGACGGCTCTCCTGAATACCCCCAGCTTAATTTATGGAGCAACGTGTGGCTCTGTATCTCCAAAAGCTACCCTATGTCTCTAGCACCCCCTGTGTGCTTTCATGACTTTTGTATCTCTACAGTTGCCTGGCCATCTTGGCTCCTCCAACAGTACCTTCTGCCACCTCTACCATCAGGTACACTCCTGCAATCCCCAGGACAATATCATTTCACACTAGAATGCTTAAAATGAAATTACCAGAAAGGAAGGTATGTGATGGGTAAAAAAAGTCAGCCTCTAGTCCTAGTTTTACCTAATTTTACCTTAATTTGATCTTTTTTTTTTTTGCATTCCAATCCTGCTGATATCCTCCTCCTCCTCCTTTGTAGCCACTTCTGGTATACATGCACTCCAGAGATGGTCACATGGCATTTCTCAGGGCGGGTTTCCTGATGGTGACAACTGTGGACCATGCCCATGAAATGTATGTTGAAGGGCTACTTGAAGACTCCATCAGAAGCCCTTGTGACAGGGTGCTGGCCAATGCTCTGTCCGGGCAGAGCTGAGTAACAGTCACACCCCTCACTACAAGTATCATCACACAGCACTTCAGAGAAGGTCAGGGGTGTGCCTGGCCAGGTCTGTGTGTGGCACCTTGTTTGCCTGGGACCTATACGGTTCTGAAACATCGCTATATGATGTGACAATTCTTTTGTCAATAAATAACATTGACTGAAATTCTTATTAGGGTGTGAGCGACTTTTCTACCACGTTATTACAAAAGTCCTCACACAGTCCTTCAGAGAAGGTCAGGGGTGTGTCTGGCCAGGTCTGTTACTGAGAGCTGATTACTGATAAGACTGGGTCTAACCCTTCTGCCTATTGGACCGTGCAGTCCTGGAAAGTGAAGGTAAGGCTAATACTTATGCATAGTTGTAGACATAATAGTCCTAATCCCCAGACATACACAACATTTTCAAAAACCAAACCTGTTAGGCAGCATATCGGGGACATTCTGGCACTGATGTAGAATATACCCAGTAATCATGACCTGAAACATTTGCACCAAGTACAACCGGTCTGATAGCCCATGGCCGTTACCTTGGTCGGAGGCCTGCGAAGACTCTGCAATATTGATGGCCAGTTGGCTTCCAAAGGAGTTGACTCCCATCATGCCGCTATGCGGGTGATTGGATGTTAACGATGACAGCTGATTGGAGTTGCGGGGGACGCTGTACAAAGCTTCGGCAATGTCCGCGGCTCTTTTTAATATGATATCCTGCTGAGATACGAAGAGTCACAATGACAAATGGGTTTCACAGGCTACATAGAATGATGTGCAAAGTGTATGTAAGCAATAACAACCTTGGTGCTCCAGCTGTGGTGAAGCTGCACATCCCTATAATTAGAGATGCACCGATACCGATACTAGTATCGGTGCCGATGCCAAGTATTTGATTGAGCACTCGTACTCACCAAAATGCTATGATGCCTAGCCCGATACTTGAGCTTCCGGTATCAGGAAGCCGGGCAGCGAGTCATTACACTCCCCCCGGCTTTCTGATTGGCAGAAAGACTGCTTCATGCTCCAGCGTCACCTGGTGACGAGAGAGCATGGAGCCGGCTTCCCGGCCAAACGGGAAGCCGGGCGCTGTGTAATGCAGAAAGATATGGACACCGGCACTCCAACAATAAGTAGAATGTGTGTATTTATTGACGTACACGCAGAAGAGTATAATACACTTAGTGTGAAGTTTCGGGGTCACATAGGATCCCCTTCATCAGGCAAAACAAGTGATAATGACACGTTGGGCGATGTGTAATGACATGTTGGACGGCTTCCCGATTGGCCAGCTTTTCGACCAATCAGGAAGCCGTGCAACGCGTAATTACACGGAGGCCTGCTTCTTGATTGGCCAGGAAGCCGGCTCCATGCTTTCTCGTTACCTGGTGACGAGGGAGCATGGAGACGGCTTCCCTGCTAAACGGGAAGCCGGGTGGCGAGTCTTTACACGCCGCCCGGCTTCCCGGCTAATCAGGAAGCCAGGTGGTGAGTCATTACAAGCCGCCTGCTTCCCTTACTGGGACTTCCGGCATCGGTATTCGGTATCAGCGAGTACCGGAAAAAAATATTGATACCGAAAAACCGGAATCGGTGCATCCCTACCTATAATCCTTCTGCCTCCGGGAGTCATGCCTGTCATTGTCAGGGTCTTGCAATGCCTGGTGGGACTTGCAGTTTCACCAGAGCTGGAGCGATAAGGTTGCCTACCCCTGCTTTACCCTAATCAGCCCACCTTCTCCTTTTCCTCCTGGCTGTTTTTTTCTGTTAATTTCTATCTTTCTAACCATTAATATATATTATGTATATAGAGAGAGACAGACAGAGAGAGACAGACAGAGAGAGACAGACAGAGAGAGACAGACAGAGAGAGATCAGTTAGTTACCTGGTTATTGTGCGGCACCCCATACAAGGCTTCCACCAGATCCGCCGCTCGCTTTAATAAGACTTCCTGGGGACAACAGAAGATCACAGTGTGTTTAGGACAGAGTAAAACAATGCCCTTTTATAATGTTCTCAGGGTATGATCATCAGCAAAATTGCTTGTTGAAGGTTGTCATTATAACATGACAAATCTATATTTCTTGCTGGATGCAGTTGTTATTTTTCAGCTCTCATTAATAGGCCAAGCTGTCCAGCCAAACACTGCCGGCAGGACCGGATTTACTCTCTCCACTGCCCCAAGGCCAGGTTGCCCCCCTAACCGCCAAACCTCCTCCCATTGGAGAACGGCAGACCTGCAGGCTGCATACAAGTGATCTCGGCGACATTTATACCAAATACAGCCCCTATACTTCAACCTAACTCAACCCTTCACCTACATCACTGGCCCCTCCCTTTTAGAATGTAAGGGCCCTCCTTACCATCTTGTCTTGAATTGTATTGTGATTGCAATGTCTTCCTTATATTGTAAAGCGCTGCGCAAACTGTTGGCGCTATATAAACCCTGTATAGTAATAATACTCCTAGAGCTAAACCTTGTGATATGGACTAACCCAACCCCTTTATTTCAACCCCTTTACCCTGGAGGAACCACTGAAATAATTGTGAGGTCTCCGGGAAACCCTTCTAAAATGATTCTATCTGCATTTTATAGTACAAACAGTATGATCAGTAAGCTGTTCAATGTTTTGAATAAAAGAATGAGGAATTTGGCACAGCTATTATATTTGACACACGGAGACAAATATTTTACAACACTCCCTTGCTCTATACATAAATACTAATCATAGAAGAAAGTGAATAATGACGGCCAGAAAAGAAACTCAGACTGTAAAAATTCTCCTCCTATACTAGTTGTCAATGGAAAAGCGTCCCCTTTACAATGGTAGTTAGAGGAACAATGCCCCCTTATATTGGTGGTTAGTGGAGACATGCCCCCCTATATTGGTGTTCAAAGGAACAATACCCCCTTATATTGGTGGTCAGAGGAACAATGCCCCCTTATATTGGTGGTCAGAGGAACAATGTCCCCTTATATTGGTGGTTAGTGGAGACATGTCCCCCTATATTGGTGGTCAGAGGAAAAATGCCCCCTTACACTGGTGGTCGGTGGAGTCATGCCCCCTTACATTGGTGGTCAGAGGAACAATGCCCCCTTATATTGGTGGTTAGTGGAGACATGCCCCCTTATATTGGTGGTCAGAGGAACAATGCACCCTTACATTGGTGGTTAGTGGAGACATTCCCCCTTACATTGGTGGTCAGAGGAACAATGCCCCCTTATATTGGTGGTTAGTGGAGACATGCCCCCTTACATTGGTGGTCAGAGGAACAATGTCCCCTTATATTGGTGGTTAGTGGAGACAGGCCCCCTTACATTGGTGGTCAGAGGAACAATGTCCCCTTATATTGGTGGTTAGTGGAGACATGCCCCCTTACATTGGTGGTCAGAGGAACAATGCCCCCTTATATTGGTGGTTAGTGGAGACATGCCCCCTTATATTGGTGGTCAGAGGAACAATGCACCCTTACATTGGTGGTTAGTGGAGACATTCCCCCTTACATTGGTGGTCAGAGGAACAATGCCCCCTTATATTGGTGGTTAGTGGAGACATGCCCCCTTACATTGGTGGTCAGAGGAACAATGTCCCCTTATATTGGTGGTTAGTGGAGACATGCCCCCTTACATTGGTGGTCAGAGGAACAATGCCCCCTTATATTGGTGGTTAGTGGAGACATGCCCCCTTATATTGGTGGTTAGTGAAGACATGCCCCCTTATATTGGTCATCAGTAGATTAAATTCCCCCTTACATTGCTGGTCAAAGGAAAAATGTCCCTTTACATTGGTGGATCGTGAAGGAAAGCCTCCTTACACAAGTGGTTAATGAACAAATGCCTCTTTACATTGGTGGTCAGTGAAGGCGTCTCTCCTCACATTGGTGGTCATTGAAGAAATGTCCCTTTACACTGCACTGGTGATCAATGGAAAAATATCCTTTTGTATTGGTGGTCAGTGAACAAATGCTCTTTTACATCGGTGGTCAGTAAAGGATTGCCTCCTTACAATGGTAATCAGTGAAAAAACACCCCCATAGATAGATAGTCAGTGGAAAAATGCCTCTTTACATTGGTGATCAGTGAAGAAATACCCCCTTACATTGGTGATCAGTGAAGAAATACCCCCTTACATTGGTGATCAGTGAAGAAATACCCCCTTACATTGGTGATCAGTGAAGAAATACCCCCTTACATTGGTGATCAGTGAAGAAATACCCCCTTACATTGGTAATCAGTGAAGAAATACCCCCTTACATTGGTAATCAGAAGTAAAATCTCCCCTTACATTGGTGGTCAGGGGGAAAATGCCACTTAACATTGGTAGTCAGCAAATAAATGCCAATTTACATTGGTGGTCAGTGAAGGATTACCTCCTTATATTGGTGGTCAGGGGAAAAATGTCCCTATACACTGGTGGTCAGTGGAAAAATGTCCCTTTACACTGGTGGTCAGTGGAAAAATGTCCCTTTACACTGGTGGTCAGTGGAAAAATGTCCCTTTACACTGGTGATCAGTGAAGTAATGCCTTGTGACATTGGTGATCAGTGAAGGAATGCCTTGTGACATCGGTGGTCAAAAAATAAATGTCCCTTATCATTGGTAGTCAGTGAAAACAAGCTAATTTGCACGGTGTAGAAGTGACCTCTTACATTATATATCATTGCTCACTGCTGAAGGAACCCCTAGAAATCTCTAAAGGAACCCTAGTTGAGAAAGCTTGGTCTACATGGTATTCAGAGAGCAGAATCTACAGCAAACCTACAGAACAACAAAAATTACATTATTTTTAACAGGGTCTTTGCTAGTACATGCTGAATTATCCCCCCCAATTTACACCCACTGCCACTTTACATTGGTGGTCGGAGGAAAAATGTTCCTTTACATTGGTAATCACTAGAGAAAAGCTCCTCAGGACTGGTGATCAATGTAGAAGTGACCCCTTAGATGAAATGTCATAGGTCATTGCTCAATGCTCAAGGAATCCCTAGAAATCTCTAAAGGTATCTTAGTTGAGAAAGCCTGACCTACATGGTATTCAGAGAGCAGAAGCTACAGCAAACCTACAGAACAACAAAAATGGCATTCTTTTTAACAGGGTCTTTCTTAGAACATCCTGAATTATCCCCCCAATTTACACCCACCACCTTAGCCAGCTTTTTGCAATTTGTTTTTAAATTCTCCATTGCATGCAGATGAAGAGTCAGAACCCGCGGATCCATCTTGTCTTGTGCCAACAGCTAGAGAATATATTTGCCATTCCCAGCTTCTGCAGTGCAGAGAGTGAGTACTTTAAAGACGCAGTCTTCTCAGTCTTCATCGTTGTCTTCACAGGGAGCAGGGCAGCCATCAGAAATGTAGGGGCCCCTTACACGGCTTTAGGTCGGGGCCCCCCTGACGTGTTGGACGCAGGACCCACCTGAGAACCCACACATACCTGAGAGTGACCCTGCAGAGCCCACCATAGATGCTGCACAGCCCATTTGATACTCTCTATGGTGGGCTCTGCAGGGCCTCAGGTTGGCTGGTCAGGAATGCATCTCCCTCCCTCCCAGCTCCTCTTAGCTGCTCCTGGTACCTGTACACCTGGCCTCCTCTGCTGCCGGACTGGCTGGAAGTGACGCAACTTCACTTCTGGACAGTCCGAGATCAGAAGAGCAGCGGGTCCGATGGGGCCCGGCCCCCTCCTCACCTGTCACCATCGACCGATACTCATGAAAGGCTCCTGGGCAGGCCCCTAGGCTGCCTGGGCCCCTTACATGAGTATCGGCCGTATCCCCCCTGATGGTGGCCCTGACAGGGAGTTTTAGGGTACTAAACATTCCCCGGCTCTTACCCGGATAATGGGGTTTGGGGAAAGGCAAGTATATTATCTAACTTTTTTTTTTCAATTACACAGCAATTCAGCATGGGAGAAGTTGGATACACTTGAAAGGAGGAATTTGAAATGTAGGTTCCCCCTTTACAGAGGCAATGTCGCCTTGCCCGACACTGTCTCTTGCAGAGACAGTGTCTCTGCAATGGGCATCCCATGACCCCTAAATACCCACCTAACCTGGGCTTCCTTGCAGTTTCTTACTCCTCCACAGCCATCCCTACAATGGGGTGTGTGTCGGTGCCATTACTCCTCAGGCATTCCACAGGGGCAAAGGTCATAAGCTCCCTTATACCAGAGGTGTTGGGTATTCTCACTGGCTGCAGAGGAGCAGAGCACTCAAGGTCCTTTCACTCATAGAAAGAGATTGAGATGTGTAGCTACAGCTGGTCCTGGTGCTAAGAAGATGCTGGAACTGTTAATTCTGCTTTTCTGATGCTGGAAGTGCTATAAAGCTTGTGTACTCTTGCTACCTATACAGGAAAACCAACTCTGTCATCCCCAACAACAGTGACTGCAGTCAATAAATGTAGATATAGATATATGTATTTATATGATCAGTCCTCTACTCTTGGTACTCTGTTAAGCTGTGAGGGCAGATCCTTTATCGAGATACATCTGTATCCTGCCTCCTTATTACATTAGCCTTTATTAAGTAGTTCAATCTTCCTTTCCGGCCCCATTCTCGCTGTATCTACCATGAGCGTCCTCTCTATTCTCGCACTAAGCAATGCATTTCTCATCCATTAACGCTCCTTCTTATTCCTATCAATCGAACATCACGCCAAGGCCAAGAGCGTAGACTCCACCAGCTGATAATTGTCTTTATCTGCATCCCCGGGGGGGACAAACACGCCGCCTTCAATCAGGCCCAATCTACTTAGCATCCTCTCTGCCAGTGACTGTAATAGACAAAGTGGATTATTGGTAAAGTGAAATTATTGACTCTTCTTGATGGCTCCTTCAAACTCTCTCCGTGTCAGGAGCAGCTGAGAACGGCTGGTGGAAGAATGGGGGATAAGAGACTCCTAGGGCCAAATTCTTGTCATGGAATGGTCTCTGTGTCACAATTAGTGGG